AGGGAGAGTCACGGCCTCCTCGATGCATAGCGTGTATGGAACAGACCTCAGTTCTCCAGCACTGTCCATCGTTAGGAGGGTGTGTTATCCAGCTCGTGGGCCAGGAACAGCTGCCACCAGTTGGGGAATTAGACAAGAGGACACGGCGAGGCAGGCATACAGTGTCCAAACTGCCCCCCTGCACACCAATCACCAAGTGCTAACCTGTGGCTTTTTTGTCAACCCGGCCTTCCCACAGGTAGGAGCCTCACCAGATGCCATCGTGAGCTGCATCTGTTGTGGGAAAGGCTGCTTGGAGGTAAAATGCCCAGCTAAATACAAGAACTGCACTATCCTCCAAGCCTGCTCCTCGGATGACCGCAACTTCTGCTTGCATGTTGTTGATGGTCAGGTGCACCTTAAAAAGAGTCACCCGTATTACACCCAAGTCCAGACACAACTGTTTGTGACAGAGAGGTCCTACTGCGACTTTGTTGTGTGGACCTTGATGGACACAGTGACTCTGCGCATAGCTCCAGACCGTGCTTTTTGGAAGGCACGACTCCAGAAGGCACAGGACTTCTTTGTGATGGTGGCTCTCCCTGAACTTGCGGTGCAATACTACACTATCCCCACCTGTCAACCATCACCTGGTCACAGTGTGCTACGTGAACTACAGCAGCCACAGCCACAACAAGTAGGTGGGAAGAGGCCGCGAAGGCAGCCAGCCAAAAAAGCCAAGGAAGTGTGGTGTCTCTGTTCTGGACCAGAGGAGGGTGACATGGTGGCCTGTGACAACCAGAACTGCCCAGTCCAGTGGTTTCACTTCAGTTGTGTGGGGCTTGTTAATAAACCCTCTGGTGACACGCCATGGTTTTGCCCTTGTTGTTGACAAATAGCTATATTCAGAACCAGGATATACAGAGGTTATACAAAATTTGAGCAAAAACTAATAATTTTTCTCATTCGTCGGACATTGCCCTAAAAGGACTCAATCTTCTGCATTTGGTTGCCAGGTAACCATGTATGGTAATAACGGAGGGTTGCAAAGTCTAACAATTGGGTCCAGTTTTGGTTCCTGTCTGGTCTTGTCCATCTGTGGGAAGTTGAAACATGAGGACCGTAGCCATGGTGACGAACAAATTAAAACACAATATAATGTACAGTGTGACACGAAACAGGAAGTGGAAACTCTTGGATAGTAGCGGATGCCAATTGTTTTTCATGTCTATGCTAAAGTTTTTGCTTTGATTTCATATAGATTTGTATAATGCCATTTTATTACTGTGTTTTTAGTCCACATTTTGAAAATTGGTCATCATTTCTATTACATATATCTTTGCACTTTGAGTTTGAATAAAAACAAAAATGTTTTACAAAGCTACACTTTCAAATTGGGTTTAGATTTGCCTTTGATAGAGAGAAAATCAAAAAGGTTAAAGCATTTCTATTGACCACCATTATTATATTTTTTGCACTTGTTACACTATGGATTGTGGTCTGTATACATCAACAGACGGAATATTTTTTACAAATGCAAATTTTCAAACTAAATTTAAATATGGACAAAGCTTTGATAGAGACAAATTCCATACACAAAACCATTTTAAAACAACAGAATGTATATTAGTGTTTAATATCTCAGGTTTATTTCATTCTTTTACGACCCTGAGCGCCTGAGCTGAAAATACTGAGACCCATAAAACATTTGCCTTTTCTTTTCGGTTAAACAATCATTGGTGCAAAGTCCACGGTTCGCTCACGAGGTTACACCGCTCTGACTGCTGTGAGAGAAACAGAAAGCAGTGTATTACTACGACTGTAAAGCAGCTTTATCAATGCAATTATAAAAAGGGGATCTTGCTTAATTTTTTTCTTATCACATATATTATTCTTGTCTTTGTAAGTATGTGAATTCAATTTGACGGCTTTTTCTTTTTTGGTGTAATAATTGCTTCTATGCATTTGTGGTCATCATAACCTTCTTTTCTGTTTCTATATGTATTTTATTTGCAATTATGTTCATGAATTTACTCAACCCTAGTCCTGGTCCTAGACTGGTCCTAGACTGGTCATAGACTGGTCCTAGACGGATCCAAGACGAGTCCTAGACCTGGTCCCAGACGAATCCTAGACTAGGCTGGTCCTGGTCTGGTTCAGAGCAATCTTGGAGCAAGATCTAGTTACCGTAGCAACACAGCGTTTGCTTGCAGCAGTTAATATTTAGTTTAGCTGTTTTACATTTACATTCACCAGTTTTAGCCTGTATTAGAAAGAAAAACTGTATAAATCATTTAAGTTGTAATAATAAAAGTATTTTTGGGGGATTTTTTTCAGAATTCCATTTATGTGAATGGGATCCGTCAAAATGACTGCTCTGGGGGTCCTAGTATAGTTTCAGAATTCTGGGAGTCTGAGCATTAGCTTAAGTTGTTGTTGACGTCTCCCTACATCACAGAGAACACAGGGCAGCTCCAAGTTCAGTCCAATTTAATTCCTTTCTAAATGCTGTTTATTAGAAATTACATTCTATCGTCCTGCGGCTAATTTCTCTGCAATATTACACAACCTTTTAATATCAGCATGTAATCTTTAGCTTTTGCAAAACCAATCAAATTCCAAATCTCTTAAGGCCTGTGGAATGTCCTGTTCCATGACTGTAAAACCGGTTATATTATCTCGTTATGTTCCCATTTTTTGTTTACCCAGAGAAAAAGACAGAAATTATTCAAGAGGAAGAAAAGTTTCCCCCATCCCCATGACGAACCGTAAAGGCCGCACAATAAGAGTAACGCACTACTTTTATATGCTTGATGGTGGCCTAAACCGCAATGGACACAGCTGGACACCATTGGACTCACTCTATCAGATGTGATTTTTATGTTTATGTGAACCGCAGAAAGCCAGCTTTGAGGGAATGCAAGGAAAATACAAATGTTTATGTGATTAGGGCTGCAGTCAGAGCAGCGTATATGGACTTTATTATTATATTGCCCAGGTTTAGTAGCTATGAGACACACGTTTATTGGTCCTGACTTGGAAGCTAACTTATACAGTTTTCTTCCTCATTAAGTTCATTATGTTATTTGCAAAGCTTTGTCCATAAAAAGGTTGACGGCTTGTTAAAAACCTTGTCATTAAATCACGTTTTGGCGAGTTAGAACTGTTGTCCATCTGCTTTGTTTTGCTCCATCTGCTGTCGATTAAGTTTGACATTACAACAGGAAAATTGGCGGCAGTTTTAAAGCAGCCGAGATATAGAAATAATCAGGGGTTAGTGTCACATTTTTAATAAGCTTGAGAGAATTTTCTTGCATTGGGGCTGGATCATGAAGCAGAAAAATTTACTGCAAAAATTACAAGTTTTTATTGTGAGTATTGGGCCTTGTCAATTTGAAAACCTTGGGGCTGCCCTGCGTGTAATTAACATCTGCAAATATTGATCCAAACTTTACTGAATATCATCATCATTTTTGGTCGCACCATAATCCAACCAGGGGTAAACATTTGAGTTTTGATCCAACATTGAGGACACCCTGGAAAAAATATTTAAACCAACCACCATAGCACAACTCGTCATCATTTTGAATTTTCTCTTGTTGCGGCTCCGCCTTTGAGATCTCTAAAAAACATGTGGGTAATAAATATATTAACTTGTCGAATCATAAAACTGTCCCAAGAAAGCCACCGTTTCTTTTCATTTCATTGCTTTTAGTGAGTGGTTAGAGGGGTACATGCTTGACGCCTGAGTGAGAAGCTTGCCGAGTCCGTGCTTTAGGAAAGGAAATCAAACAAATATAATAAATACAGGTGCATCTATAATAATCGGTGGAAAAGACTAAATGGATCATTGAAGTCAAAGTGTAATTATTTCATGGATTTGTGAGAGAGCCAGCGTGACGGCCAAAGATAGAATATTCAAAACAGTGTACGTATAAAAAACTAACTCGAAACAGAAGGAAAGTCAGTGACGCAAAGTGTTTAGTCAAAAAAATAGAATGATAATAATATTAATAATAATAATAATAATAATAGTAATAATAATAGTGAGAAATCTTAGAAACAATCTTAGAAACAAAAAACTAAATAAAAACCGACGCTGGATCTGGCCATTTGTGTCACATTCTCATTGGTTTATAGACTCGTTTTAGGACCAAGTTTTTAATTTCATACTCCCAAAGACATAGTTTTCATCTCAACAGAAGTTTCTCAGAGATCAAAGTTGATAACACCAGGGCAAAGAACCAGTTACAGTAATATAGTATAGTATAGTATATTATAGTAATATAGTAAAAGGAATAGACTGCAGTTGTGTCCTTGGGCATCATACTTTGCTCCTATTGTACGAGTCGAAAGAAGTGAAAGATTGTGCTGGTCAGAGATTGGTTCCTTGGCTTCCATCAGTCCTACTTGGCTGCCCCAGGGCAGGCGTGGCTACTGTAGTAGTTTACCACCACCAAATATTATTATTATCATCTTTAGAAAGGTCTGGTTCACTTCAAAATGCTTTCTTTGTGGATGTAAAACCACCAACCAAGTTAAGTTTACTGGTCAATCTTTTGAATTGGATCTGGAAAGATTTGTTTTTCCCACTGTGAACCAGACTTGGTCCAGCTAAAGTGAACCAGTTGAGAAAATAACTGGGACGGGAGATGATAGGCTGAAAACTTGGTCCATTTTCACTACTTTTGAAACTCCAGGTCTGGATCATTCATAGACAATTGACGGATTAAAGCGTCGTATTTCTTCATTCACATTGTTTAATAGTCGTTTGATTAAGTTAATATGTGTAAAGCTGAATGAGTGACTTAATACATCATTTTAACCACCCAACCATTGTTTTTTCCATCTCAATCGTGTAGATGCACGTGTACACTTTCCAAAACAACAATGGCTTGAGGTTTAACCGTCACTGTGTAGATATAATGAACTATTCGCCTTTTGTCCCGTTTCGTGTAATAAAAGTCTCTCGTCTAAAACGTCTCTGCGGAGTGTGTGAAAAAAACTGTTTTTCGTCCATTTCAGGCGAGTTTGAGAGTGCTGACTGGAAACGTGGGCACCGTGACCATCGTCACCGGGTTCAGGACCGCCGTCTGCCCCACCAGCTGCGGGTGCGGCGCCAAAACCGCCGTGGGTTTCCCTAAGGACTGGTTCCCCTGGCTGACCACGGTGGCGCCGTTTACATTCACCTGCGCACCGGCTGCAGATTGCGGGCTCGCCTGGACGTGCGGCAGGGTGTGGTGGGTGAAGGTGTGGGTGATGTGTCCCACCATAGCGCCCTGGGACACGGCCACGCCCTGCGGGTAGAGCGTGGGGAGGTGCGAGCCTATGTGCGCCACCGGATGCACCGTGATGTGTCCGATCTGCTGCGCGGTGATGGGCTGGTGCGTCGTCTGCGGCTGCGGCTGCTGGTGCTGCGCGGGGTTCTGCGGCTGCACGGCGGGCGAGGGGGCGATGTGGGCGAGGTGTTTGTGGTTGGTGGGCAGTGCGTGGTTGACTGCCTGGATGACGGAAGCGTGCGAGACGGAGGCGTGCGAGACGGCGGCGTGCGCGATGACCGTGGGCTGGACTTGCACGGTGGCGGCGCTCTGGAGCGGGTGCGAGGCAACAATGGAGGCGGGGGCGATGGGCTGCGGCGGCGTGGAGGCAGTGGAGGTCAGGACGCCCGACAGTGTGGCGTGCTGGAGGGACAGGTGCGGGGCGAGCAGCTGCTGGGCCTTGAGCAGCTGCGGCGGTGCGGGTTTGAGGAGAGGTGCGGCGGCGGCGGGATGGACGGGCGGCAAAATGTCGTCATCGATGTCCTGCTCAAAGTTCTCCTCTCCTTCTGGAAGCACCAAACAACAGCTCTTTAGTTCTTCATGCTGCGTTATTATCTATCCTCATCTCGTTATTCTCCTCATTCCTACTGCTCTGTAACTGGTGATGCAACACTGGAATTTCCCAAATATGGAACAAATAAGAATCTCTTAATCTTAATCTTGTCTACACACACCCAGCATTTGTTTTGTCCATATTTTAGAGCTTATGAAAGATAATACAACCAGATGCATAATTTAATTTTATTTTTTTTACATTCACCATCGAGCCTGGTCATTTCTTTTGACAATATACAGTATGGCTTCAAACAACCACTAACAATAATTCTGCCTAAGTGTGGAATCTTTCATTTCCCACCTGCACCACTAGATGGGAGTGTTGGCGCATTCTAGTAAACTCCTTCTCCCTTTCTCATTTCCATCTATTTTCTACTTGAAGCACGTTCACACGCCACAAGAACACTGCAGAATGTGAGCGCTTCATCATCTGGTACCGTATCCTAGCAACCTACCCACAGAAATGTGTTGGTTACCACGACCTACCCTACCCTACCCTACTCTACCCTACCCTACCCTACTCTACCCTACTCTACCCTACTCTACTCTACTCTACTCTACTCTACTCTACTCTACTCTACTCTACTCTACTCTACTCTACTCTACTCTACTCTACTCTACTCTACTCTACCCTACCCTACCCTACCCTACCCTACCCTATCCTACCCTACTCTACAAGAATGTCTCCACAAGCCCCCATTTAACCGGTTGTTAGTACCCGCTTGTCCCTGAAAAACACTTAAGCTAAGCTGCTACTAAATAAATACCTGGTACCAACTAAACAGAGCTGGTGGAAACACTCCCAATCAGGGTCGAGTAGTGCCAAGTCGGGCCAAGTAGGGCCGGTGGAAACAGGGCTTCTGTGTGTGAGTTCACCTGAGGCGGTGGAGGTGGAGGCCTGGTCGTCCTCTGGCTGCAGCGTCTGTCGCAGCACGCGGTCGATCTCCACCACGTCCATGTTCTGACTCAGCTCGTTCTTCAGTTCTGCCAAACGCTGCTGAGTCGCGATCTTTTCCCGGGCCAACCGCTCCATCTCGTGCTCGTACTCCTTCTCTTTACGCTTCAGGGTCTGCAGACACACGAGACCAAAGATGAGATCAAACTAGTTTAAAAAGCTGCTCATGATGTTGTACAATGGTATAGTTTTATGCAAGATTCTGGTGTAGGGTAAATAAGACAATTGTTTCATAATGGAGAAAAATCTAAAACACACTATTCTGTTTTTTTTAAATCGATACCTATAAACAAGAGCCTCAAAATGCAGAAATGTCCTGAAGTTTAAATACTGTAAAATAAATTAGTGGGAAATCCTGCTTTTCTCATAAACTAAAATCTGTGTGTGTGTGTGTGTGTGCGTGTGTGTGTGTGTGTACGTCTTTTTTAAATCTTCAATATTATTTAGATTGTTGTCATCATTATTATTATTTCCTCAATCTCCACATCAGATAAATGCACGTTCTTATATTTGTATTGTATCTTTTGTCTTGTACGTTGTATATGTTGCTCAATAAAAAATAATAACAAAACGCTGCAGTGGTAAATGATGATGATGAATGTAATTCTACTAGGGCTGGGCGATATGGCAAAAAAAAAAAATCTCCGATTTTTTCACACCAAATCCGATTTTCGATTTTAATCGATTTATTTTTTTCTATTTAAAGGCACACCGCGGACTTTGTGACCTAAAGAGTTGACACATATGAGTTATTTTATATGAATACTTGGGCCAATATACAGCGCTTGACACTTGCAATGCTCCGAGCGGGGCTGCCCTCTTGAAATACCGCCCATGTAAGTTTCGAGCAGACGGACCGTCTGCCACCAGGTCACGTGACTTGGAAGAAAGACTTGCTTTACGGCTACAGGCGCTGATATACTCATGGAGCTAAGGCTTTTGCTACTCATTTTTCACCTGCTCGACTCCTGGTCATGGCTGAGGCAAGGAAAAATTTTAAACCTTCGGAGGAGGCTAAAAAGAGGAAACGCGAAAGGGATCGTGCTGTAAGCTGCATGTCTGTATGAGCGCTGCTCTTCACCTGGTTCCTGGATGTCATCGACTGCAAAGATGTCATTCCACGCAGCACGAGCTAGACGCAGAACTCCCTCATCCAGGATATAGAAGTCCATGTGTGGTAGATTACTAATGCAGCGGTCTGGAGGCTGACCACAGCAGAGTCTCTCAATATCTGTAGGCATGTCTCTACAGTTTGAACACACACACCAGTGCATGCTGTCTGAATACACACTCAAAAGACACCGGCTGACTGTTTGTTGACTTTTGCGACAGTGCTGAGTTGCTTGTGGCCACTAGGGGCGCTAAACGTGAAAGTTGCAGGTCTAGCGCCCCTAGTGGCCAAGAGTTACACGGTGTGCCTTTAAAAACAAACTACAACTGACAAAGAAATAGCTTTTCCTTTATGCAGTTTAATCTAAATCCCCATGGAGCATAAGTGTAACAGGAATTAAGCCTTAAAACATGCTTGTAAACGAGATGGCTCTGCCATTGTAAACAGTGAAAATGTAGCTTAACAGTTTTATAATAACTTCACTTACAATGACACTATGCACCTTCAAAATAACTTAAATCACACAAACAAGGCCCATTGCAAATATATCAATCCTATTAAACACATGCATTATTTACATGAAATATCACATTTTTAAAACTGATTACTCAAAATAGAAATGTTGTAACAGTCTTTTCCAAAAGCCTCCTCGGGTTTTCATGCTTGTTCTTTCAACTGTGCCTGAGTAACTGTGCTGTAGTACAACGCTCGGTCCAGCTGGTGGCGCCAATACTAACTTCAGTGACTCCCGCATTGTGCGAGCTTCCTGTTTACATTCTGATGCTGTAGCTAACAGCTACTGTAGCAGCTACTGTAGCTAACAGCTACTGTAGCAGCTACTGTAGCTAACAGCTACTGTAGCAGCTACTGTAGCTAACAGCTACTGTAGCAGCTACTGTAGCTAACAGCTACTGTAGCAGCTACTGTAGCTAACAGCTACTGTAGCAGCTACTGTAGCTAACAGCTACTGTAGCAGCTACTGTAGCTAGCAGCTACTGTAGCAGCTACTGTAGCTAACAGCTACTGTAGCAGCTACTGTAGCTAGCAGCTACTGTAGCAGCTACTGTAGCTAACAGCTACTGTAGCAGCTACTGTAGCTAACAGCTACTGTAGCAGCTACTGTAGCTAACAGCTACTGTAGCTAACAGCTACTGTAGCTAACAGCTACTGTAGCAGCTACTGTAGCTAACAGCTACTGTAGCAGCTACTGTAGCTAACAGCTACTGTAGCAGCTACTGTAGCTAACAGCTACTGTAGCAGCTACTGTAGCTAACAGCTACTGTAGCAGCCACTGTAGCTAACAGCTACTGTAGCAGCTACTGTAGCTAACAGCTACTGTAGCAGCTACTGTAGCTAGCAGCTACTGTAGCAGCTACTGTAGCTAACAGCTACTGTAGCAGCTACTGTAGCTAGCAGCTACTGTAGCAGCTACTGTAGCTAACAGCTACTGTAGCAGCTACTGTAGCTAACAGCTACTGTAGCAGCTACTGTAGCTAACAGCTACTGTAGCAGCTACTGTAGCTAGCAGCTACTGTAGCTAGCAGCTACTGTAGCAGCTACTGTAGCTAACAGACAGCGGGGAACACGTTGTTTGTATCAGAGCAATGAGAACAATGTGTGAGACGTGTCTTTCCCCAAAGTGCAGCGGCTCAGTGGGACACGAGTGTGTGCGCGCCACGGACACGGGAGTGCGCTTTGGAATAACGAGCGTGAGAGAGCGTGAAAGATGTGGCGTACGAACATGGCGTACAAACATAGCGACCGGAGCCTGCGTGCGTGTGTGTGTGTGTTTTGGCGATTTAAATAAAGTCTGATTCTTGACCGTTTGAAGTGTTATTGCAACAGCACCAACTGTGAGAGCGAGCATCAGGCCAGAGGGAGACTGTTAGCATTAGGTTAGCTTCAAAATGACTGCTCAACACCATAGACCCGCGGTTAGCGCGTTAGCGCTGTAGTTCTGCGCTGGAGAAAATAAAAATCGAATTTTTAAAAAAAGAAATCGCCCTAAACGTAAAACTTGAATTAATGATTAAAATCGATTAATTGCCCCAGCCCTAAATTCTACATTGACTAAGCGAACAAACAAATAGGTTACTAACCATGACAACATACGCTCAAGTCAGTGTAACAAGTTTGAGAGAGGAATTTGGGCAGAAGGGGAGGGGCGATAAAGTTTGCGCCTGAAATTCCTGATATTGTCGTGAATTGAGATAAGACCTCTGAATGTTTTTGAGGAGGGAACAATATTGTAATATGCTTAAAAACATGACATAATCCGTTTTTATCACTGTGAAAAACTAACAATTAGCACTATCGTCACGCTGTCTCTTTAACCAGGACAATAAACGTAACGTGAATGAGAGGAAGTTGTACAAACAGTTCACAGATTTCCCGACACCAGAGTGACCCAGTTTGGGCGCAGGTCAGCTGACGTGCACACGGCAGGATAAGAACATTAACACAGATTACGAGGCTGACGGAGCGGGAGACAACAGCTCAAAAATGATGTGTAAATGGACACGTACTTTACATGCTTTTCCAAGTACATTTGTTATGCACCCACAGCAATATGAGGAACCATTGTCTATTTTAATATGCAATGCCAAATCCATAGACTATCACATCACATTCCCTCCAACAATTTAGGAAGTTAAAGATTAAGATTAAGAGATTCTTTATTCGTCCCACAGTGGGGAACTGTCAGTGTTGCGTCATAAGTTACAGAACAGTAGGAAAGAGAAGCACCCAAGATAAATTAACAATAACTCTATAATAAATAAAAATAAAAATAGGGGTTTTCTAAACAAAAAATAAAAAAGAATCAGAAACATTTATCCCTATTGGAGGTTTACTAAAACAGCAGCGACAACGCATTTCCGGCTTTTACCACTAGATGGAGTCGTTTCATTAATCTAGTCCATCATTCATGTGTATCCAATATTTTTTCTACTTCTGTAATAACTTTATTCCAAAACAGGAATAGTAAAAAAAATATTCTCAAGATCATGTATACGGGCCAAAACAAACATAATGAATATTTGCTTTTAGCCAAAATCTTGTTTAGGGCTGTAAAAAGTCCCCAGGCCCTAAAATGAACACAGAGTTTAGATAAAATCTAAACTGTGCCTTCATAATAGAGAAAGTAAATACATTTAGCTCAACATTCGCAACAACCTGGTTCCATTGATAGATTACTTGATTTGGCACAAAACAAGCAGTTGCCTACACTATAAATGATACAACAGATTCCCGCTATTTACAAATCACAGGTCAAACTGTAACATTGTTCATAGTATTGGCAGCGTGCTTGACCTGCAGTGGACTGTGGACTGCTCTGAGTGCTGCCTCGGAGCACATGGGGCGCATGATCCCACTACCGGAAGCTCCCTTCACTGAGCAAAGCTGTTTACAGTCTGAGCTCCACGTGACGGCAGCACACGCGAGCCCAGGCCCCTCTGCTCTTGACTCCTGAACCACCTCAAAACAAATCCATTTGCAAAACCTCCACATCGCCTACTTCCACAGAGGTGACACGGCTGTATGACTGAATATGGCTGTATAAAAGATATAGGTAATTTTATAATGTGATGTCTTAGTAAACAATACTCCTTTAGTTAAAATTAACGTAGTACCAACAACAACAACAAAAAAACAAATTAATTGCCATCATATTAAATACAGATAAGGCATACCTCAAATACAGTCAAAGTCAAAAGTAACGGGCGGGTTGACAAACCAAAAAACTATTGCCATACCCAATTGCCAACATCAACATTACATGAAACCATATATTATAATGATGTATTGCACATAAATTATTTCAGTTTTCTTACAAACAGTATTTTGCAATTATTTTGTTCTGGGCCAAATGATGGCCAAGTCAGCAGTATGGGCTTGCTTGGTAGAAAGGGAGTGAACCTGAAGTACAGTGTGATTTTTCGCTAAGCATAAAAAATAGGAAATATCATAACAGGACTGGAATGAACTGACATTAAACCCTTTCAACATAGCAGACCTTCTGTACAAGTCTTTTGAAAAAAGTTACAATATTGTTCACTCATCCAAAACAGACATGAGGCTGTTTAAGCTAATGTGAGGCACATGTCAGCAAAAGTCCCTTCTGTATAAAATGCTCCTATCTAAGACAAATTCAGACTGTTAATTAGTCTCCAAATTACTTGTGGGAATTCATTCAATCATATTATTTTTTATTTAGGACAATTTTGCCAGAACTCCAAGAATTCGTCTCCATAAGGCCACTGTATAGTTTTGTGATGGTCCTCTACTGTCTTTTGCAGCAACCTCCAGCCTTTACTGGTACAAACATCTCCCTGAATACCTTTAAGCAGTCTCCAATATTTCTTATACATTTCCATGGTTGCACTTTTGTCTGTGTCATATGTTTCGGACAGAACACTGCTACTATTCAGAACTGATGTAATATTAACGCTAAAACCATCCAAAATCTAAGAAATATTATTTTTTCTAAGAAGAGGGAAGGGAAATTCACTCTTTACGAATGGGAAGACAACATTTCAAATTGGTTTTCTTGTCTGGTTGTGTGATGGTCTCAGGTGATGGGCAAAGGCCTTTAATAACCAGTCTAACAGCATTTCCCTAGATAAATAATAGACTTAGCATTAGCAATAACAGCTTTCACCACTTTATGCCAATACATTATGTTCATTTTGTGTATAGTAACCCAAAATAGCCACGCAGTGAATGAGTACACACGTGTTTCCCTTTTAGCTGTATATTTAGGACACGCGGTCGTTATGCAGTCGCTATGTTGATCCTGTTTTACAAGTCGCCTGACCTGAAATTTACGATGTAATCATTTGATAGCGTAATAGTTTGTGTCCTCAATATGGGGCTGAGAGGGTGGCACCAGGACACGGTTTAAGGGAATTAAACATGTACTGTGTGTCAGCTCCAACTGGTAAATTAACTTATATAAATAGGCTCCATGTGAATGTAGAATACAAGATAATATTAAAACACTAGAACTCGCATGGCAGTCAAACGGCTTTTTACATGTTTGGTTTTCATATCTTTGTGACTTTATCTGTTTCTATGTGCAGTTTATTTCAACGCCATTGTTTTTATTAAATTATTTTTTATTTTAGAAACGTGAGCAGTTAGTTAGCATAGTTACCGTAGCAACACACTGTTTACTTGCCAGCAGTTAGCATTTGCTAGCATTTCAACAAACTGATTTTGCTGTATTTCAAGTTGTATTCATCAGTCTTAGCACTTGGTTAAAGTGAAAATGCAAAAAAATATATAAAAAAAAAATAAAAAAAATAAATAAAAACCCTGGTGGAAAATTCTAGTACTTTCATAATTCTAGGAGTCTGAGGTTTAAAGATGCAGTCAGTGATTTTTTCCAGATGCATTCTTTTTAAATATAGTGGGAAAACGTCCCTAAATCCTAAAAGTAGTCAAGTTGTCATGTGTTTTCAAAAAGTAATGGAATTGACCAGATGCCTATAGTCTCCAAAAATTAAAAAATATTTTGGAGCAGACCGATAAAAATAAACCATTGGGATTCGTTCATCCCCAACGAACCAATGGAATGTGTTTACCCCCTTCACCCTCTTTCTGTTTCTCCCGAGTGTGCGCACCTGTTTATTATTTTCTAAAACCTAAAAGGGCTGACCTAAAAAGGCCAATTTCACGTTTGCCCCCCACTCTCCCTGTTGTGACAAAGAAAAGAAAATGCTGGATGTTTGGTTTGGTGGAGAGGCGAGGGGAGTGGTTTCGAGTTGGTGCTACGGCTAAGCTAACAACATCGCTAACTGCATCTTTAAGAAGGCCATACAAGGCAGAATGGACATTTCACAGCTTTTGACCATATTGTGGTAAATATGACTAGTGTATGTAACTATTAATTCCTAATTGAATACTCAAAAATTACGCATAGATTATATTGACAGAGTGCTGATGTCACCCGTAGTGTTAGGCTTAATGTGAAAGAAGCAGAATTGAACAAAAGCTAGCTGGAGCCAATTTCCTTAGTAGTAGTAGTAGTAATTTCTTCGGTGGCGTCATATTTGCATTATAACAGGGGCAAATATGATGGTCGCTGAGGCAAGCTGGAGTTTCCCACACGAATGAAGGCATCTGATTGATTGATCCTTGTATGGCTCATATCTGTATTTACAAAGTCAATATCGAAATACAAACACCAGGATCACAGAGAGAGTAAGTGGGTCAATAGGAGCCGAGATGGTGCACCACTTTTCCCAAACAGAAGTACAGTAATGTTATGATCCAAACAATTTAAATCAGGGAATATAATAAATAATAATTATGTATTTCTTTAAAACAGCAAGATACAAAAAGTGAAAAACAGCAATACAGTTTGAAAAAGGGGTTGGCGCTTGCATGAGGTCATCTCAAACCACACAAACACACAGACCCAAACACTCTCTGACCCTACACCTCACCCCCATCAACAGCTCTCATTGATAATCAAAATAAAACATGCATACAGCCCTTACACAGATTAAGATTTCAAGTGTACTTAATATACAGTGGGGTAAAAAAAAAAAGTTGTCAGCCACCAATTGTGCAAGTCCTCCTCCCACTTAAGAAGATGAGAGATGTCTGTCATCTTCATCATAGGAAAACCTCAACTATGCAAGACAAAATTAGAACAAAAATCCAGAAAATCACAGTAAATTTGCAAATGATAACAAAAGTCCATCTCAATACGGTGTTATGTAGCCTATACAGAGGTAAAATGTTCTGTTTGCTGTAAGGTTTTCACACTGTTGCTGGTATTTTGGCCCATTCCTCCATTCAGATCTCTTCTAGCCCTGAACTCACTAAAAAAGCAGTGATTTTTCTGATTTTTCTTGTACTTATATATTTCAACAAGCGTTTGAACTCATGATGCCACAAATACATCCGTGACACTTCACACGTTCTGCATCCCTCCGTCACCATGGAAACAGAGTGATTTGATAGTATGGAGCGATGTGATTGGATGAGGCTCTCGACCCCCTTCCCACGCTCTTCCCACTACAACCAATTCAATCCATTCATCTTCATCGTCAACACACCACACTACAAACTGCATTTAAACAGCAGACATACATTGTGCTTGTGTGCGTTACAATCTCTGGATCACTTTTATATACATTTGAAACACTTATATTTGTCCTATTGATCCATCTTTAATAACCAAGAAATACATTATCGTTGAGCAAGAACCAAAAACAGTTCTGATTAAAACCAAGTGCTGCATCTAGTTCACATAGGAGTCTCGCGAGGACTTATTAGCAGCACCAGGACCCCTCCATGACCCCCCCCTCCCAGAAGAACTTAGTCGAGCTTTAGCTACACACAAATCTCCACCTGCTCACCAGGGGGCGCCGCTGTCTCACTTCCAAAATGTCAGTCTCTTTGGTTTTGCCCAAACGGATTTTCTAAGCATCAATTTCAAGTCAGTATCACTACCAAGCTCTAATAATTTGAAACCAAAATTGCGTAAAATGAAAGATTAAGATAGATAGATACAGTCAATTAGTAGATTATATCTCCTCTGGCTTTTTTTTCCAAGTCAGCTCTATTTAACACAACGGGCCAACGTTGTGTAGGTCTTTCACATGAAAATTCTATACAAGTAACTTAAGGTTCGGTGTCGTGCTGAGAAAATGTTCAGGGGGGTACGAATACTTTTTGTTGGTTGCTGTAAATACGCCTTCTGTGAATTGCAGAGTTGTAACAATGTCTGTAGCACAATCCAGAGCAAAGCAAAAAACCCGCAAGGTAAACCCGAGACGGTCATTTAGCAGTTCGTGGCATAATCCTGCGAGTTCAACCATTTCCACGGCTTACAAATCTACACAAACATTTCTATGGTAACACAATGTCAAAGCGAGAGAGTCATTTAAAGCCAGGGACCAACAGGTGGCTAATGCCTGTATGTGATTGTCCCGCAATTACTATAAACAACTTTGGAGAGGAGGGGAATAAATAACAACTTGGAGCAGACTTCAGTGGAAAAAATGGGAACCGTCAGCACGTGTTGCTTGTTGCGATTGTTACGGATAATGGCGAGGATGCGGGACAAAGGAAAGTATGTGGCTTGGACAGGACTGGAGAGAGACTTTGTGTGAAACAACTTGAGAAGGGTCTTGTTTTGCCTCTTATGTACGTATACTTTCTGTTTGCCCACTGGTATGGATTTGGATTTGCACAGGTGCCTTGCTGAGCTGAAATGATCGACTATGACAAAAGAGAAGTACATAGCATTGTGTGTGTGTGTGTGTCTGTGTGGTTCAATTCTATTTTCTAGATTAGATTTGGGACTCATTTGGCCCGCCGAGGTTCGGAGATTTCTACGAGATGTCAATTTACATTCATTTCGGCACCGATCAGACAGACAGGGGCTGAAAGAAAACCTATACTTGTCGACCATGCTAAAAAGACACAACAATCAAAGAGAACTGGATCATTTTCTTTGCAAACAAACTTATTACATGATGCATAAAGAGGCTGTTTTTACTCATATTGCTTCATATTGATTTTACATAAACATTGCCAGCCCGTGTCGCTCAGTGTGTAAAGATGACAGTGCTTCTGCTCATCGGGGATGGCTGAATAAAATGTTTTCATATATACAGTATGTATTGTACTTTGATGTCTTGTCTTTTGCTGTATTGAATTTTAAATCTGATAAACTTTGAGGTTTTGTGGAAAAGTAAGGTGCATCGCCATAATAAAAATGTATAATTATTATTGTCTCCTCCTTTGTAAAATAAAGACATTGCTGCTAGAGCTGCTATATCAATCAAATCTATAAAAACTGAGTGTGTGTATAATTGGAGGTAAAACGATGCGAGGGCTGAGGACACACGAGAGAAAGAGGCAAGCTGTTTAAAAGAGGGTGAGTTTGTGAAGTCCACTGGCTCCATCTCCCATACAATATAAGGTCCTCCTCATCACTTACATCCATAACCTGGAATGATGAAAACCCACCTTTTCCAAACTGCCCACAAATAACTGTTTATTTTAGCTTTTTAATTATTTATTTTTATTTCTTTATAACCTGTCCTCTTGCACAGCTTCTTTGAGTGTCCGTATAAGTGCTACATACAGTAAGTACGACATAGTAATATATTAGTAAAAAAGTAAGTAAGCAAGCAGCTCATTCCACAGGCGAGGGGCAACGGCCTTGAACAGATCGTCCAAGGCCGTTGTCTCCTCTGGTTTTAAAACAGGTGCGGGGGACCATCAGTAGGTTCTGCGTGGAGGACCTCAGGCTCCTGTTAGAGGTATCAGGCTGGATCAGGTCCTTTATATAATCAGGAGCCTGGCCATGAAGAGCGCTGAACGTCAGAACCAGGATTTTAAAATTGACTCTATAAGCGACAGGGAGCCAATGTAGAGCCTTCAAAATGGGGGAAATGTGGGCTCTCTATTGTATTATTATTCAATAAAGACATAAAGAGATCTGGCCAAAAGACACCCACGTTAATCAGTATCATCAGTGCAAAACTATATAACAATAAAAATCTATTATTAAACAACAAAGTCTCACCAGTTGGAATCCTGCCGTTAAAACTACCCGGCAAATCAAATCAAAAGAGCAACAACTGTGAGGGGAGAAAAAAAAATACTGATTATTAATACTAAACCCCCCCCTCGCACTTTCCTACTGCGTCATTTGCCATGGGCAACCTCCGCCTAACTCTCGGAATAAGACGTGCCTTCCCCCCCTCTCTCTCTCTGCGGCTGCATCCCAATCCACAGATGGAGGGACCCGGAAGGTTGAGGAAGAAGGTGCTTGTGTGTGATTTTGGCTGCGGCCCTGGTGGCTCTTAAAGTCCCCACCAGCCTGCACCCCCCCTCCCCCCTCCCCTCTCTCGTGTCACATTTTAAAGGTGCAGTGCTCAGGCCATGTGCTCCAATCGCACATGGAGCCGGGACAAGACGGAAGGGGGGGGGGGGGGGGGGGGGGGGGGTCCGCCGAACAGCAGGTGAAATAAGGCCACGGAGCCTCAGCAGCCGCCGTCTACTGATGCAGCAAACGATTCAGGCAGGATTTTAAAAACAGATTTGATCGACTTTTAACACAGTCTAAGACGTTGTAATTACCTGCTATGTCCTTTCCACATTCAAGGTTTTTTAAGTCAAGTCAGAGCACCTAAGACCTTTTCGTTAAGACCTTGGCGTTCAATATAATTATTACCGTTTTGAATCAGTGTTTTGATTTGTATGTGTATATATGAGCAGCATATTTACTATACAAGATGCTTTAATGGGTAACTAGGACCTTGTTTGGATGCTTGCTAGTATTTTGAGTACACACCAAGAAAAAATGAGTTAGAAAGACTTAACTTTTTTTGCAGAAATAATACACGTTTTTCCCGACAGAAAAATCAAGACAGTAACATTTTGGACAAATCCTTACCAGACAACAACATTCTTCCTCTTATTAGTAGAAAACATGTTATTTTTTGCTATACTTGTCAGAAAGTGTGTCCAGCGAGTAACTATTTGACCTTTGGGCTGAGAGCTGAGTGGCTGAGCGAGGATGGTCTTCTGCTTTTCAGTTTTCGGTCAGAAAAAGCTGATCTCAAGACATGACAGCGGCCAAAAAAATCCATGCAAACAGAGTGGAAACTACAGTAAGAAGACCAAACTTTTTCTTAAACGAGGAACTGGTCTCATGGATTTGAAAATATAGGTCAGTCTTTTTTGGTTTGAAAGTTCGGTACCCAAACTTTAATCATTGCTACTTATGGATTATCTAGAATTGTATTTAAGCTAGTCACAAAACATGCCAAAAAGAGGTTTTATGATGATTTTTTTGTTATAACTCCTCAACTTGTATACAGTATCAGTTTGAAGATATGAAGATTTTTTTATTTCCTTTTATGCATGCCTTCTATTTCTACTGAGAATCAAGGCAATTTCCTTGTTTCTCACTCCCTGTTACTCACACAAGCAATAAAAAGAATTCTGATCAAGATGCAACAAAACCCAACATTTCTCAAGTCAAAATTGCGATCTGGATTTGATAAGATTACAACGCTCCCTTTTGGACTCGACCAAAAAGCTTGAATCTCTGCCCGTGTCTGTATTCAGATCCTAAGGACGATCAAATACAAGAGCGACGGCTTCACGGCGCCGTCAAATCAAGTTTAATAACGTCGACTCTGCAGTATTTTCCCCTGAGGTCCCCGAAAAGTAGAAGTCTTATTTTCCTTCCCCCCTCGGCCTATTTCTGAAAACGCAATGAAAGAAACAGTGCAGTACATTTTGACTGCAG